AACCTTCGAAGCAGTCAGTGTGGTGTGGTTCAATCAAATTCTGCTTACTGCGGGTCCGGCCGCAAATCACATCGGCCTAACCGGTCTTCCTTGTGCTGAATCGACGCGAATAAATCCTTCATACGTGTTCTGCTACGTGGATATTAAGTCGTAACTCTGAATGGATATGTCACATTTTTCTTCGATTACACGGACGGTTCATTACGAGTCGAAAGATAAATAGTATAACGGAAATATTAAACGATTTGATTAGGAACTTTTTATTTTTATTTTTAATGGAAATTGGATGTAGGGACACAGGTTGTTATGTAAACAAAATTGTGCGTAGTCATAACATGTGGCTGCGTCCGCAAGCTCCGTTGCTTTTTACTTTTTAAGTTCAGCCGCGAATAAGCGCTCCGACTAACCAGTTGTGTTATTTAATTATCTCACTTCTGATAACGCCCTGAACGTTATTGACCACTACCAAAATAACTCCTAAAGAATCTTAACTGCATGCTGCTAGTCTATAGCTGTCTGACCGCAGTATCGGGTATTGTGGACTGCTGAGTTCACATTTAGAATATTGAATGGTAATATTGAATACGTTTTTGATGCAAAATACTGATGGCCTAGAAATTAGAGATTAAATTATAAAATCTGGTACTAAAAAGCTAGCCAATTGAACTCTTAAGAACGCTATTATTATCATCGGGAAATTTCTTATCGATTCGTAACTCGATTGAAAATTAAAAAAAAATGACAATATAAATAATTTTTCCGGTTTAGGTCTGAAGTCTCACCTCTTATTAGTATATTTTGTATTAGGATAGAAGTTTCTTCTTCTAAGAAGAAGGAGATCAGTACCTTAGTAACTCATTAACTAAGATATAATTAAAACTAACAATTTTTATTATGTCTCCGATGAAGAAAATACCTTTTTTTTATTGCTTAGATGGGTGGACGAGCTCACAGCCCACCTGGTGTTAAGTGGTTACTGGAGCCCATAAGCAGCTATAACGTAAATGCGCCACCCACCTTGAGATAAGTTCTAAAGTCTCAGTATAGTTACAACGGCTGCCCGACACTTCAAACCGAAACACATTACTGCTTCACGGCAGAAATAGGCGGGGTGGTGGTACCTACCCGCGCGGACTCACAAGGAGTCCTACCACCAGTAACGAATCGAATACTTGAGTACGTTTAAATATTTCCATAAAGCAAATAAACGACAACAAACAAATGTCGTAAAACAAAATCACAACACACCATTACCGCAAATCAGGTCAGTACTTTTTTCGGTGTTCGCGTGACAAATGGCGGATCGTTCCCATGATAAATACGGGTGTATGATATGACGGAAATGACAAACGCCGAACACTGCATAGCGTCAAGTTGAATCATCCGTAAAACGTCAATGATGTCCCGTCATATAAATAAATGAAAAACCGTTTGAATGTTACCGAATTTATGCCTAACATTAATTTAAACTTATCAATTACTAGCGGCCCGCTCCGGCTTCGCTCGGGTCTTTAACAAAAGTTTTAGTAGGGATCCCTAATTTTTGTTAAAAAAAAATATAGGCTATGTCACTCGGAGATAGTGTAGCTTCCAAGCAGTAAAAGAAGTTTTCAAATCGGTTCAGTAGTTTCGGAGCCTATTCAATACAAACAAACAAACAAATCTTTCCTCTTTATAATATTAGTATAGATGATTTGTCGAGGAAGCATATCGCATGGCTTTGTACATCTGTTTGGTTGATATCCTCACCGATTGACTTAGCATTTAGAAATATAAACAAGGTTAACTCAAACATTTCTAATTTTAGTTGATCCTAATGTGACATACATATGATTTCGATCACTCGCTCGCTCGATGCTATTATTTTTAAAGTATGATTAGTTTATACAAGAAGTTTATATATACACATAGTAAGATACAAGGATTACATACGAATTGTAAAAACTAGACTTCTGAAAGAAAAAAAATTGACTTTTTCTTTTTGATGTCGAAAAATACATTTACATTTTGAGTAGTAGTGGCATATGCTGGGGTGGCATATTAGATAGTAACATTAGTAAAATTGTATCTTTGTATAGGCTGACTCGGTGGTTCAGTAATTAGTAGCCCCGATTGCTGGGCTGAAGTTCGTGGGTTCGATTCCGACATCGGGCAAATATCCGTGTGATAAAAATGTCTGTTTGCTCTTTTTCTGGGTGTTTATATATACCATTTTTTTCTGAGTCCCGTATTATGGGTAATTCTAGTTTGGGGCTAGATGACCGTGTTACTTGTCTCACGATTATTATCAACATATATTCAATATTAATCCTTATACATATTGATATGAATATTGATGTGCGAAAGGGAATATTTTTAATTGCTTAGAAGTAATTGTTATTTGAAAATCTAAATACATCTAAACTCTCTGTAGCTGCTCTTCATAAAGTCATGTCAAATAAGCAAGACTGCATCACGTATACAAATTGCATTTAATTGAGACACTCTAATGGCGTAGAATATACCAATTCGAATAGTTCAAAGTAAACTAATTCGCTTATTAGTCCCCTATGAAGAGCTGTATTACAAGGCACCGCTTCGAATTTCCAATGTATCGTGAACAGCACTTGCGTAACACAACGTGTCCGATACTCACGTTAATTGCACCATCTATTCAGGTTTCCCGTCGCAACTCGATGCATCACCACCACTCCGGGCTATTGGTGACGCAAACTAAAGCACAAAGAGGAAATGTATTGCAAATAGAATCGAATACGTTCGCTTTTAGGTGACCGGTTTGTGTTCTTATTATGTTATGCTTGTCGGATATGGTCACCGGTCGCTGTGTGTCAAGCTGTAACTTCAACTGTGAAAAAATCTTGAAGTTTTTTATTTATTTCTTGGATGGGTGGACGAGCTCACAGCCCACCTGGTGTTAAGTGGTCACTGGAGCGCTGGATGCGCCACCCACCTTGAGACATAAGTTCTAAGGCATCAGTATAGTTTAGGGCTGAAGTTGCATAAAAATAGTTGGAAGTGACTGATTGTACTGAGCCTTCAGCCATTTACAGTTTGCCGTTTGGTAAATAATATTCAAAGCATATCTGACGCGAAGCAGTGCACGGAAGATAAATAATGGCTAGATTTTTATTACTTGTATTGGTCAGGTCAATTTTACAAAGCACATTTAATTAACGTCGTCGTGGCCTAAAGGATAAGACGTCCGGTGCATTCGTATGTAGCGATGCACCGGTGTTCGAATCCCGCAGGCGGGTACCAATTTTTCTAATGAAATACGTACTCAGCAAATGTTCACGATTGACTTCCACGGTGAAGGAATAACATCGTGTAATAAAAATCGAACCCGCAAAGTTGTCATTTGCGTAATCACTGGTGGTAGGACCTTATGTGAGTCCGCACGGGTAGGTACCACCACCCCGCCTATTTTCCGCCGTGAAGCAGTAATGCGTTTCGGTTCGAAGGGTGGGGTAGCCGTTGTAACTATACTGAGACCTTAGAACTTATATCTCGAGGTGGGTGGCGCATTTACGTTGTAGATGTCTATGGGCTCCAGTAACCACTTAACACCAGGTGGGCTGTGAGCTCGNCAGCAGCCCGGCGTCACCTGCGATAACGCGGCCGCGCGTTGGCTCCTGATTGGCGCGCGCACGCATCACGCAATCAGGAGCCAATCAGGCGCATAACGCATTTCGTGTGACATGCTATACTCTCTAGTACGATTTTGGTCCCCATAATTTTCATACCCCGGGCCTATATATGTAAATCGATTCTTAAGGAGTAAACTCCAAAAACGACAGGTAAGAGACACAAATACAAAATGTGTAGGATGAAGCCAGCAAAGAATGAGACAGAAATATACATACTATTTAATACAGCGCCATCTGTGAGATTTTTTAATACTAACGTGTGTATGAAAGCTTGTAGTGAATTTTAATTTAGGATTATACGTGAAATTAAAATATCAATTCACAGAGGGCGCTACCTTACAATTATTTACTAATGACAAAATTTTACATATACTTAAGACGTTTAGGATAATTGTATTTTAATTTTGGAAGGTTTCACTTCTACCACGTGTGAATTGCACACATTTTGTTTTTTTTTATTGCTTAGATGAGTGGACGAGCTCATAGCCCACCTAGTGTTAAGTGGTTACTGGAGCCCATAGACATCTACAATATAAATGCCGCTACCCACCTTGAGATATCATTTCTGAGGTTTTAGTATAGTTACAAGTTACAACGGCTGTCCCACCCTTCAAACCGAAACGCATTACTGCTTCACGGAAGAAATAGGCATGGTGGTGATACCTACCCGTGCGGACTCACAAGAGGTCCTACCACCAGTAAATGCTTTTGAATTTGGCATAAGTAGGTACTGCATAGGCGAGATGGTCTCGCGTTACAGGTGTATCCACTACACCCTGAATGTGGATTTCACGTAATAATTACAATCTTGAAAACTAATCTGTAAAAAAATTATATTTTATTTGAAAGTATATTTTCGGTTCCGATAATTGTGCAATATTATTCGTTTTGAATTATGTTAAAATTCAATTGGTAGTATTTTGTGAACTGTTGCTTTACAGAAATCGCTTTATATTGTATACAATAGCAACAAACCCCAAATTAAGTGGTCTTTTTTTCGTCAATCACCTCCAAAAGTCCCTACCTCTTCATAAAAAGCATAAATAAAAATAATTAAAACACACATTGTCCAGGAAGTCACAATTGATGACATTGAATAATTAAATTCGTTCGTGTTTACAATGTCATTTTGAAGCCAGAACATCGCAGCCTGTCCACTCACTCATGTCGTTCACTTGACAAGAGTGCTCTTGTGTCACGCTGATGATTCCATTTTCTATGGTTGTGCTGGCGACAATGTGAAACCACACATCTATTTATTATTATAAAAAAGATGTGTGGTGTCGTGGGACACCGGATAGGAACGAAGTTCCTTATTTAAAAAATATTAATTTTAAGTTCTATTCGAGGCATTTCGAGGTATAAAGAAAATAATTATTCGGGTATACATCATTTTTATTATGATTTTTTTAATGATAAAAAAAAAACACATGGGTCAACCACTCCGCAGTGCAATGGAGCAGCCTCGCCCTAGGGCAACCGCCTGCATGATCACGGTATCCCCTACGCTAAGTAAGTATGATTTAACAAGAGAAATACGAAAACGTCTATCAACTGTGTAACATCTCGTCACCGCGATTCAGGAATTGTTGAATTTACGTGCAGCGACATCTGTTGATAACAAACTAAATAGAAAAAAAATTACGTTACGGACCTTTTCATCCCGGTTAGGGTACCCCTCCGCATCGTACCCTAAGGAACTTCGTTCCAAAAAAAAAACATATCAAAATTTAAAAACTGTAACAGCTTGCAATATCAAACGTTTTCAAAAATAGACGAAAATCGAATAAGCCCGTTTACGAAAATCATAAGTGCGGTAATTTACAATATTCCTTGACGGTAACGGAAGAAATATCCCGCTCACTAGCAATCCTTCCAAATGGAACGTAACATGTATTAGTGTTAGGTACTGAACCGAGAAATCGAACATCCTACAACACTTTCGACGATATTATTCCAGTATTGCCGAAAATATAGCTTCCTTTTCCGCCCACGTGTCAAAGAACATAAATATCCATAAGTAAATACGACGATATGCCGGCAGGAAATTATGAGAGGGCCTATTTTTTCGGTTTATTTGAGAATTTATGGGAGGAAACAGGATCTTTACTATGATACTAAACGTAATTGAATTGTTCAAAGCGTGCTTCATGTATTACGCTGTTTGATGATGTATTTTGTGTATTACGTGGTTCTGTTTCAGTGACAAAGCAATTATGCATTACAGCTTAAAGGTGTAATGGAAACGCTGGGAATTCTATGTAACTGGACCTTTACCTAAACATAAACGTGATCACATCACGTCACGTCATCACTGTGTGAGCCTAATAATTAAGTAATATAAAAAATTAACCATCTCATACGCCTTCTGCTCTAGTAAACGAAATTCCAATTGATCTTCTTCTCAAAAGTCTTTCGTCTCTTTCTATGCGAGGATAGTACAATGTGTATTCTAATTTAAGAGTTTATGGACACACAGAGCGCGCAATTCTGGGTGGTCTGATTTATAATACACACTTACTGCCAAACCATTCTAACCAAATCTCGTGATTCACAGCGGAAATAAACAGAATGTTATTTATAATATGGCTAATCAAAAATAACTTAACTAGACTGAAAAAAAAAACTTGCTAATGCTTGGTGCTAGCCAAGAAGGGGGTAAGAAATCGGTTGTCTGTAAAGTCGGTTTACTGACGATAGTTGAACGTGACAACGTCATAAGAAAATGCTGATGGAATGGTTTCATTTTTCAATTATCGCAATTATCGTTGCTATAAACAATTGATACCACATTCACTGAACTTCATACTTGAAGAAAACATGTACATATATTATTGTATAGCAGTTGTCCACGCGGATGCAACGCTCACTCACTCAAGTAGGAGAGAGAAAGATGTCGAACGCTGCCGAACGCGGAGGACAATTGTGCCTCTTTGTCGCTCGTTGCGCGCTCTCGCTTGCACTTCAAGCCTTAAATGGAACGCCTCATGAGTCATGTTTTTTCATGCGTGCAGCCAGCTCCATCGAATTATAAGACGTTGTCACGTCAAAAAACCGTGCGGGCTAGAAGCGCGTCTTTCCATCTGTGAAAAAATACATGGTAAACCAAAATGAAAACGAATAGAGAATTTCGATAATAATACAAAAACATACACACCTTTTACATACTTTTAATAGCTCGGTATGTATGTATATGTGTGTTTTGTACATAACGGAATCTTTGCATTTCATTTTCAGTGACTTCAAATCGTTGATTAATTATAATTTTTTTTTTTATTGCTTAGATGGGTGGACGAGCTCACAGCGAACCTGGTGTTAAGTGGTTACTGGAGCCCATAGACATCCACAACGTAAATGCGCCACCCACCTTGAGATACAAGTTCTAAGGTCTCAAGTATAGTTATATAGTTAGTAAATTGAAAATTTACTAACGAATCAAGGGTCGATGTTACTACATTAATTTTATAACTTGCAGTTGGGTATTTAAGTGTGTTTTTTTGTTGTTTTTAAACTACATTTTTTATCATAACCTAGATTCTGTACAACTATGCAGTTAGGTAAGCACAACAATTTACGCACACTCTATATAATATTTATAAGTGAAGCAAAAACTTTGTACCCCTTTTTACGAAAATTGCGCGGGCGGAGTATGAACTTTCCCACACCTATAGAGAATATAGAGAAGGAGTGCAGAAACCTTTTTAAAATTATGCATAAAAACACATTAAATCAATAAGTAAAACATTACACACACTACCATGTATTTGATCCACACACTCATATACGCATATTTACTCTTTTGTTTATTGTTAAAGTCTGTGGTCAAATAAAATTGAGAATAGATTAATATTGTTGGTCTTTAATATTATTTGTCTATAGTGCAGCCTTGGCGATATGTGATTATAGAAGTAAAGTTTTTGACAATAGACCCATAATAATGTTCAAACTTATAATTTAAATTAATATTTATAGTCGTATTTCGACTTCTAGGGGACCACTAGTAGTAGTTATTAGATGGCGAAGGAAATTTAACCTTAAGCATATCAAAGCATCAATTTAGTTTTATTTATCAATCTCCTAAGCAGTCTTAGTTGTAAAAGTTTGTCATGCGGTGATCGAGGGAAATTTGACTTGTAAAATGGCGTTCAAAATATTTGCTTATTTCAATTTGACTTCCGAAGCAGTACTAAACTATGTAGATATGTTATTTTACAAGACCGACGTATCTGCTTGTTAACTTTCTGTACCTATAACCTACCTCTTGGTGCATATACCGATATGCATGGACATTTATTAAGGTCAACTCAATCATAGATCTTGGTGCGATGCGTGGAAATTTATTAAGGTCAACTCAATCACAGATTTTGGTGCATATTCCGATATGCGTGGACATTTATTAAGGTCAATTCAATCACAGATCTAGATGTCCCTATCTATAACCTTCGAAGCAGTCAGCGTGGTGTGGTTCAATCAAATTCTGCTTACTGCGGGTCCGGCCGCAAATCACATCGGCCTAACCGGTCTTCCTTGTGCTGAATCGACGCGAATAAATCCTTCATGCGTGTTCTGCTACGTGGATATTAAGTCGTAACTCTAAATGGATATGTCACATTTTTCTTCGATAACACGGACGGTTCATTACGAGTCGAAAGATAAATAGTATAACGGAAATATTAAACGATTTGATTAGGAACTTTTTATTTTTATTTTTAATGGCAATTGGAATTGTTAGGTAGGCAGCGGCTTGGCTCTGCCCCTGGCATTGCTGACGTCCATGGGCGACGGTAACCACTCACCATCAGGTGGGCCGTATGCCCGTCTGCCTACAAAGGCAATAAAATAAAATAAAAAACAGGTTGTTATGTAAACAAAATTGTGCGTAGTCATAACATGTGGCTGCGTCCGCAAGCTCCGTTGCTTTTTACTTTTTAAGTCCAGTCGCGAATAAGCGCTCCGATTAACCAGTTGTATTTAATTATCTCACTTCTGATAACGCCCTGAACCTTATTGACCACTACCAAAATAACTGCTAAAGAATCTTAACTGCATGCTGCTAGTCAATAGCTGTCTGACCGCAGTATCGGGTATTGTGGACTGCTGAGTTCACATTTAAAATATAAAATGGTAATATTGAATACGTTTTTGATGCAAAATACTGATGGCCTAGAAATTAGAGATTAAATTATAAAATCTAGTACTAAAAATAAAAAAAAATTACAATATAAATAAGTATACGGCTTTAGGTCTGAAGTCTAACCTCTTATTAGTATATTTTGTATTAGGATAGAAGTTTCTTCTATCCTAATACAGGAGATCAGTACCTAGTAACTCATTAACTAAGATATAATTAAAACTAACTATTTTTATTATGTCTCCGATGAAGAAAACACCATTTTTTTTTATTGCTTAGGTGGACGAGCTCACAGCCCACCTGGTGTTAAGTGGTTACTGGAGCCCATAGACATCTATAACGTAAATGCGCCACCCACCTTGAGATAAGTTCTAAAGTCTCAGTATAGTTACAACGGCTGCCCCACCCTTCAAACCGAAACACATTACTGCTTCACGGCAGAAATAGGTGGGGTGGTGGTACCTACCCGCGCGGACTCACAAGGGGTCCTACCACCAGTAACGAATCGAATACTTGAGTACGTTTAAATATTTCCATAAAGCAAATAAACGACAACAAACAAATGTCGTAAAACAAAATCACAACATACCATTACCGCAAATCAGGTCAGTACTTTTTTCGGTGTTCGCGTGACAAATGGCGGATCGTTCCCATGATAAATACGGGTGTATGATATGACGGAAATGACAAACGCCGAACACTGCATAGCGTCAAGTTGAATCATCCGTAAAACGTCAATGATGTCCCTTCCTATAAATAAATGAAAAACCGTTTGAATGTTACCGAATTTATGCCTAACATTAATTTAAACTTATCAATTACTAGCGGCCCGCTCCGGCTTCGCTCGGGTCTTTAACAAAATTTTTAGTAGGGATCCCTAATTTTTGTTAAAAAAATATATAGGCTATGTCACTCGGAGATAGTGTAGCTTCCAAGCAGTAAAAGAAGTTTTCAAATCGGTTCAGTAGTTTCGGAGCCTATTCAATACAAACAAACAAACAAATCTTTCCTCTTTATAATATTAGTATAAATGATTTGTCGAGGAAGCATATTGCATGGCTTTGTTCATCTGTTTGGTTGATACCTCACCGGCTGACTTAGCATTTAGAGACATCGACAAAGTTAGCTCAAATATTTCTAATTGTAGTTGATTCTAATGTGACATAGATGTAATTGCGATCATGCGCTGCGATTATTTTTAAAATATGATTTGTTTTATTTATACACAAAGTAATATACAAAGATTACATACGAATTATAAAAACTAGATTTCTATAAGAAAAAAATGGACGTTTTATGTTTAATGTCGAAAAATATATTTACCTTTTGAGTAGCAGTGACATACGCTGGGGTGGCATACTAGATAGTAGCAATAGTAAAATTTTATCT